AGAGAGATGAATATGAATAGTATAAACAAATGGAAATATAATTTGTGTGCAAATATATAATAATAAAATTAATATTAATCAGTGATTGATAATCATATTTGAATCGATTCTGTGGTTATAATATATAGGATGCGGTGTTTATGCGGGCATTGCGTGCGATATCGTCTCCACCGTTGATATTGTGATCTCTAATACATTTTGACGAAACAAAATAAATGCATAGAAATTAATTATAATAATATTATATATTATGAAATATATCAATAAATAGCGCATTAATTAGTGATATATCTATATATAAATGTCATATATTTATCACAATAAATATGTGCATACATTATATATTCTGGTAATTCATGTGAGAATTATATAATAAAAATTCTGTGCCTATTATTCTGTGAAGACAATTATTATTACACACATGAAAATACATGTTTCGTACAGATATTTTAGGCTATTATATAATACAATATAAAATATTAAAAAACTCAAATGACATTTTGCATTCACCAAAAAATGTTAAACAACTTTCTAATAATAACTATACGTTTTAACATATATATTGAAATATTGTCATTAATGAATTCAAATGATGTAGTTATGTTTCGGGAGAGAGTGAAAAAAATATGGTAAAGTGTCTCAAAAACATCGTGTTTAACACAACGAGGGCTGTCTATCATTAAATAATTTATGCACAAAAATTCAACTCATTTTTGTGCATAAATGTATTGCAAAATGCATACAGAATATTCCGTAGACTAAATACATTGCATATATAATATGCATAGTTATAAATATTCAACATATTGCCAATCCTGCAAAATATAATGAATTAAAATCAAATAAAATTTTCCTTAATTGCACTAGGATCATTAAGTTTGTCACTACCATGTGTGTTTGTGCATATCTAAGTTTTATTACTTACTTCCCGGGCTTTGGCCAAACTTATCGGACTTTTCCGATAAGACAATATCCAGGGATCGGCCAAAGAATCGTTTGTGTAATCGATATATTGTGGCGATTATTATGCAAATGGCAAACATCGAGAAGGCGTACATAAACGGAAATAACCACACTTTAGGCAATTGCTGTCACAACGAGATAAAAATAAAATTACGATTATTAAAAACAACAAGATCAAAATATTATGATCATTAAGTATATTCAGTATATCATATACTCTACGCTATACATGTATATTAGATGTGATTATTTTTAGTTACTGTATATGTAATGACTTTATGTTTTCTTATTAAATGGGAATTCATTTCACATTTTTTTGTTGTTTTATTGCAAAAATATCTTATAATAAAGCGATCAAAGACAGGATCTTTGCGTCTGAAGACTTGAAATTGCTATTTAATGGCAGTCGTTGTAATCGTTTGCTGCAAATCCAGCAAAAATATATAATTTTCTGAGAGAGAGAGAGAGAGAGAGATCATTTAAATCTAATAATAATGACAACAGTCTTAAGAGATTAGGCTTTTTCTTATACCCATTATAATTGCGGTTAAATTCATATTTATGTTATTTTAAATTATATTTTTGCTTGGATTGCGATTATAAATATACAAATATTTTCCATCTGTTAATGTGTTATATCCGGACATTAAATCGTGAATTAAATTTTTAATAGTGAAGTAAAATATCAATAAATAACTGTATAAATGAAAATATAATTTCCAAAACACATATCTATATTTGTATATCCACTTTATGCCCGGTTTTAGTGCAAAAACTATATATTTTATGCACTAATTCTTGTTTACTATCTCTTTGGCTGTGATTTTTGAAATCTACTTTTTTGTTTGATATCTTCAAACAAACTCACCATCACTTTCCAGATTGACTTCAATTTCCTGTATTAATATCCAGAAAGAGAGAGAGAGAGAGAGAGAGAGAGGCTGAGAGAGACTGGATGTGTGTCCTTAAGAGGCAAATGATTTATGAGAGCTATCTATCACTCCATAGAAACCCATAGAGAAAGTGAGAAAAACCTTTAATAATAAATAAGTGACCAAAACTGTATCCAAAATTGCATTTTTCTGGCCGTTCATTCATTTTCATATCACATCAATTGAATTGTTAGTTATCTTTGAGAGTGAAAGAGAGAGCAAAAGAGAGTAAAGAAATTATTTTCTTATTAACATTGAAAGTCATAAGAAATTGTGAGATAAATATAACCTTTCATTTAGAGGTTAACAGCAAAACATATATATTAGTAATAATAATAATTTTCGTTACAATGAACCAAAAAACGCAATTATTTTGAATCACATAATTTGATAATAAGTTTTTTGTGCAAAAAGTGATAAATTAATTTATTTTTCAAAAATACATTTAAATTTTTATTTATTTTTGCAATTCTCTCTCTCTCTCTCTCTCTCTCTCTCTCGTAATATATTCTCAATGTTAGGCATAATATGTATTTCATGGATATTAAACTATAATTGCATTCAATTTATATAATTTTCGCAAAAATATATTAAAATATTTTAAAATTCAATTTCAATTTTGCAGATATTGTTTTGCAGGAATTAAATGACCCATTATTTTAAACCAAATACCCCGTTTATAACTAATTACAACCCAAATAATCGTAATTTATAAATATGAATACATTACAAATAGCGAAAAATAAAATCAAAACTAATTATCCATTTAATTATGAAAATTAATTTTGTCGTTTTTATTGCATTTACTCTTTGGTAACGATTTTGAAATTAATTTAATATTTTTATTATTAGTTTTGCATTCAATTAATTATTATTGCATTTTCCACATTAATTATATTATTACGATTAAATATTACGATTTCTAATTGTAATCGTGATATAATATTCAACTATATATAAAGTGCTAAAATAAATACCATTGAGATTGTTTTTTACCTTGTTATATAAGATTGAGTTTAATGTATAATAAAGTACAACAAAACATCTGACACTTTTAGTGATGCTGGAAAGGCTTTCATATATAACTAATCCTAACTCTATATTTAATTAATTAAATGTAAAAGTTATCACAAGTATATCGAAGTTAAATATAATTACATTTACTATAATTTAAACAATATGTTTGAATACATGTCTAAATAGCAGCGAAATATATACCGTTTTATAAAGTAATTTAATAAAGTGTTTAAATAATTTAAATATCACTCAAAACATACACGTATCGAAAGGAGAGCTAATTTTTTCGACAACAATCTTTCAATCCTATAAATCCTTTAGTTTCTAACCATTAAATTAAATATATATAAAAACATGAGAGAGAGAGAGAGAGAGAGAGCAAAAGAGAGTAAAGAAATTATTTTCTTATTAATATATCGTGATTTAAAGCGTATATAAAAATGTAATTACTGTCCAAATAGTGAACGATTGAGAGAGAGAGAGAGAGAGAGACTAAGACCTAAACGATACGAGTGCTGACGACTCGCTAAATGTGCTTATTTTTTGTGAATGTAATTAATTAATTCAATTGATTAACCGAATCGAGTCGCGAATGCAGTCGATTGCCATTTGTATCCACTGATTAATTAGCACTGTTTATATCAAAACATATCACTGTTGTATAACATTATATAAGGTGCAAAATTAGCATGTGCTAAAAATAAGAGTTTGACTGTATTATTGTTTAATGATATGTATGGCAACTAATGAGAAATAGCTTCAGAGTTTTAGACAAATTAAAAAACTCTCTGCCATTAAAAAAACAGTTTAATTATCATAATATACTCGTATTTAATGTATATTACGACAGAGAGAAAGAGGGAGGGAGGGAGAGAGAGAGAGAGAGAGAGAGAGTGAGAGAGTCTAAAAATCCAGGGTTTGTAAATAATCAAGATGGGAAATGTCTATTTTTTATATAGAGATATCACATGGGTTTATATTATACAACAATTTTTTGGTGGGATATTCTGTTGACGTTTAACAGATATAATGTTTGGTATTTAATCAAAACACGTGGTGATAATATTGTTAAGGGCCGAGGTTTGAGACGGGCTGTGCTTGGTAAAGGAGTGTAGGGTTAAATATCAAATTAATTAACAAACAATTACTATTATGCTAAAATATCCCGATCTAAATCTTTACACTATCGCTTTGCCAATCACTTTGCTATTAATATCCGCATATATTATGCGACAAAATATGTAAATTTTAATTAACTTATTATCGCTATAATTGAATTGCAATATACAATGTAATTGAAAACATGTAAATCTCGTACACCATTGACACCATGTTTAGGGATTTCACTCACAAGACATGAAAATCAGACAATGGATGACAGAGAGCAACAAAAACGAGAGACGTTTATAAATAATATTATAATTACTTAACATAACAGTACAATCGTATGTCAAGTGAATGAATGAATTAATGTTTGAATGAGACAAAAAAAAGAGAGCACATTATCTAATGGTAGAAAATTTCAATTTATATTTTATACAAAAAACAGCCGTCAAATGCAGTACAGAGTTGTGTGCCATATGTGTGAACGCCCCGTGCATTTAGAGTACAGCCAGAAATAACTTATCAAGTATATTTTATATACTGATGCTCTCTCTCTCTCTCTCTCTCTCTCTCTCTCTCTCTCTCTCAAATAGGAGAGAACAGCTCAGAGATAACTATTATCTCATCCATCGATAAACACATTGTGACAATCAATTCGTTTCAATCAGGAGTACACTTAACGACACAAATGTATGTCTAAAGTAGTCTACAATTCTCGTAGTGTTTAGTTTTTTCTGTACTCTCTCTCTCTCTCTCTCTCTCTCTCTCTCTCTCTCTCTCAGATCTAAAAGACAAAGTATAGCTGTTTTCTATCAAATCTATTACTCAATTGATTGCTATAAACAAAAATAAAATAAGTAGAAAGACTGGAGATATTGTCTCCCATACTCTCCCTTACATTATTAACTCTACACTTAAACTATTGATTTCACGCAATATATCGTGATTTAAAGCGTATATAAAAATGTAATTACTGTCCAAATAGTGAACGATTGAGAGAGAGAGAGAGAGAGAGAGAGCAATATTTTAACTTAATAAAACAAATCTCAGAGCCCTTAACAGTATTTAATGCGATATAAAATAAACTATATTTTGACCACAAAATAGTCGATAGTTTATTGCAATATATTTTTTAACAACAAATATAAAGTCAATATAACAATAAAAACAGTCTGTGGAAAGAAATTCACGAGAGAGAGAGAGAGACTGAGAGAGACTGGATGTGTGTCCTTAAGAGGCAAATGATTTATGAGAGCTATCTATCACTCCATAGAAACCCATAGAGAAAGTGAGAAAAACCTTTAATAATAATTACCGTCTATAAAGTACTTTTAGGTCCGGAATATATCTTATATAAAAGCAATATATACTGAGAGAGAGAGAGAGAGAGAAAGAGAGAGAGAGAGAGAGAAAGAGAGAGTAGGGGTAAAAGTCTTACCTCGTAGGGAAAGGACAGTGATATGATAGTGAGAGCTGTGCCCACGTTCTGTATGCCAGCCTCGATGGCAATCGTACGCCGGAACGAGTGCTGTAACCGGAATATACTGGCGGCGATATAACCGAGAGTGAATCCAAGCAGTGGCAGTGCTAGCTCGGCGATGTAAATTGAGTATGGTACATCTTGGAATATATTGGGAAATATGAACACTTCCAGTGTCTGGCAAACGATTATGATGGAGAAACCGGCGAAACTTCCCACCTAGGTGCACAACATAATTGGTTTATATAATGAATTGGTAAATTTATCGTTCTCAACTAGATATTTTGTTTAATCCAGATTGTTTGTGATTTAATCAACGTAAATTTGTTAGTTTATGCCCATGTATGTTTAGTATTTGCAAATTTATTTTCATACAGAATATTCTGTAAGTTTTTCCACTATTAAACAAATATATATTTTAATTAAAAGCTATAACGGGGTTCACTATAATAGAGAGTTTGGTATTAAATTTTATGATAAAAATGTACGTAATTTGCATAAAAATTGTAGACATTATCGTTGGTATAAAAAATACTGTTAACTAAATGTCACATAAAGTGTTGCCAAAAATATAACTATTCAAACAAAATAAAATATTATTGTAATCGCAATACACTTGGGGTTATATACCGTCTATAAAGTACTTTTAGGTCCGGAATATATCTTATATAAAAGCAATATATACTGAGAGAGAGAGAGAGAGAGAACATATAGTGGAAAAATGTAAAACAGTTTTTCTGATTTAAATAGGAGTGCAAAAAACTAGTGGTCAATAAATCGCTAATTTATGCAATTGTTATGAGATTTTATTATAATTATAAAATATAAGACTAATGAAGGAAACAAAAGCACATATTATTAATCATTTATGAATTATAAGGTCTAATAGAGATGTGTTGCTGTTTTTTAACGCAATATCAATCACAATAAAACACTATATTTTAGTTAAACAATAAATATTGCAAATAAAAAACTTTTACATAAAATATAATGACTAAAATAGTAACTATTTTTTCATCTAAAATGTAATCAATTTTTGACATTAAAAAAAGAAGAAAATAATGTAAGAATTCATTAATAACATGAAAACATAAGTTCATTATTGCTTTTATTTTGCAAGTAATGTAATGTTTATATCGTTTTGAAAAAAATATAATATAAATTTCTAACTTATATTTCATTTTTATTTCATTTGTTTCAAACCTGTATTTAAAAAAAATTGAAAAATCGATCCGCAATGACATTAGAGAGTGAGAGCAATGCTATAAAACATTGGTTTAAAAATATATAATAATATTTAATATAATATAATAATATTGAAAAGTTTTGAAAGTTAGTCAAAGAAGGAAACAGGTGTTTGCAAATACATGAATGTTTTTCTCTCTCATTTTCATATCAATTTTTTTCTACATTTCTAATGAAAAATGCTGTAAAATTGCATTACTGTATAATGTATTAAAAAACTATTAATAAAACAGTTGAACAATTTTTTGGAGGAGAATATATACAACACAACACAAAGAATCGACTGCTAATTACTTTTGGGTCAAAGTTTTAATGTTTTTATGCAATATATTAGTGATTGTGTTGTGCAGTACAAGCATATCATGTATTGTATAGTTTTGAAAAATTTTACATAATTCTCCTGTTGTCAGAGCAGCTGATATAATATGTATTGAAAAATATACATAAACTATACTATACTATCATTTACTACACACGTATGAAATACTGTATTTTTTAACAACAAAATTGCGCTAAACTTTCATCGATATTTAACTGTACTTTACATTATACTAAGTTACTCTATGGCATACGATTCTGCTGTACATTATATCAAATATTAAATATATATGAGTTTAGATAATAAAATATGTGTAGAGAAATATATACAATATAGTCTAAAAATGCATGACTGGATGACTGGGTTTATGGATAATATTGCATATCGGAGAGGGAGAGAGAGAGAGAGAGAGAGTCAGAGCTGGAGAGCGAACGGAGTATTTTTTATACATAGCGTATAATAGGACACAATATGCAATATAGCCTAAAATTTAATCTCTATAATAAAAAATTGATGAAATAATTTATAGATTTTCATAAGTGGCGGACGAAAGTGGGAAATTAAATTTCAAATTATTAATCAAATATTTATATAGTGTTATATAATTTGATGAATATTTATATTAAGTTAGTTGGAGAGCAATAAACACATGCGTTATACGAATAATAATATATTTAATTATTTTTAATCTTTGAGAGAGAGAGAGAGAGAGAGAGAGAGACGAAGGAGAAGCAGAGGAGAGGTAGAGGAGAGCAAATAGACCTGCAATCGAAAGCATAATTTTTATAATGGGTGGGTCCGGGTCTGACATTTCATTTTTAAATTAAATAACATTAAATACATGTTGCAAAGTATTGCTGGAAAGGCTACAATACAAGTGGGGATCACTATATATAGTTAAGGGCTAATAGTTTTTATACCTTTTTTTAGATACTAAACATAACATAAAAACAATAATTTATTAGCAATGATAGTCAGGAAATTGTGTGCATATATTAAACGCTTTAATATATATTTTTATACATAGCGTATAATAGGACACAATATGCAATATAGCCTAAAATTTAATCTCTATAATAAAAAATTGATGAAATAATTTATAGATTTTCATAAGTGGCGGACGAAAGTGGGAAATTAAATTTTTAAGTTAGTTGGAGAGCAATAAACACATGCGTTATACGAATAATAATATATTTAATTATTTTTAATCTTTGAGAGAGAAAGAGAGAGAGAGAGAGAGAGAGAGAGAGAGAGAGAAGCGGCGAAATGCGACATCAGGTATAATGTAAAAAAGATATAGATATAAGGAATGCCAGAAGTGTGTAAAACATTTATGTTTTTCGGTCGACACAATCGCATCATTAATTTTAAGCACACCATAGCTTAGGCATTACATCCAGTGCTGAGGCATATCAAGTCATTACTGAGTTTATACATAACGCAAATTTCTTGCATCCCTTATCCAAATGTTGGCAACACTTAGAACATAGAGCTATGAAAGGCATGGTATGTGTGGAGACAGTATATGAGAGACACATATTTGCCTGAAAGCAAATTTTTGTGCAAATATTATACCTGTTCTGCAACTCAAACGTTACGTTCATTCTTCTCCATAAGCATCAGTGCAAGTGATGCGGATTTCCTCTTATCATAAACAGAAATGACAAATGGATACTCAATGTGCATAAGCACTACCATTGCACCCATCATTTCATCCAACACCTCAACACTATTATCACTTATAATCAACACTTTTATCATTTGTTCAAAACTATCGACTTTTTAACATCAAAATACAGTATCTGTTTATAGATAACAACAAAACAAATAACGACAACAATGAAAATTGTTTTAAAAGATGACATAAAAAATCATCTAAAATAATAGCAATAAAAATAGCAAAATAACATAATTGTAGTGAAAAGAGCCATTGTTTTTATGGGAGCCTACCTTTGATACCTGGACTGCATGTGTATTGAGATGTGAATGCACTTCAAAATAGATTGAATACAACAGCAGTAGTGATGATATAAACAAAAACTACACAAACGTTATGCAGCACTCACTCCGATGTCTATCACACAACTAAAGCCAATTCTGGGCATCAATAATAAGTTGTAGTTTTGGAGAGTGAGAGAAACGGCACAAATGCGGACGTAATGGCAAAAGTGCTGCCTTTCAGACACTCGCGAGCGGCGCACTAACTCACCACTCATGACATCAACCTCACCAGCCTCTCTCACAACATCTCTCTCTCTCTCTCTCTCTCTCTCTCTCCAATCGCCGCTTTTTCACAAAAATAAAACCCATTTTTATTTTTCGACTCTAAATAAACACTTTCGTCTAAATTGTTTTCACATAAAAGATGACAGAAAGATATACAAAAACACAACAAATTGAAAACCACATCGAGATATAAGTGGATATTAATGTCAGTCATAAATGAATAAAAAACTTTTTAAAAGTTTTTAATTAGTAAAACAAATGTGACATTAATTTAAAAATATCATCAAAACAACAAATGTTTTGAACAAATAAAGTGACAAATTATACAACAAAACAAATTTAATTAAATTAAAAATAATTTAAAAAACTTAAATAATTAAATAATTTAAAGTCTATATAATGAAAAGTGTAATTTAAAATGATATACAATATAATGCATGTGAATGGATATGAGTGGGGGATGAGTGCGGATGCGGTGATGACCGCTCCCTAGCAGTGGATGTAAAGCATGGACGGCATGTGAGGGCACGGTATGGATGGTATGTATGGTAAGGATCGGTAGCTTTTTAGTAAATATACTGTTCTAAGAGCTCAGACATTGCAAAAGTAATGCTAAGGCTGTGGGCATTGGAGCTGTGCTTTACAGTGAAGAAAACACACACTTAGATAGAGAGCAGTGTTATATAGAAACCTATACTCCGTTCGCTCTCCAGCTCTGACTCTCATCTTTCATATAATGTATAAATTTTATCAAATTATTGATTACTTTTTAAATTTGCTAAATAAAGTCAAATACAATGGAGTGAACGGACAGCGAAATGGGTGCACAAATCACACCAACCATATTGTTGTCATAAATTGAAAATTTGATAATTAAATAGTTTTAAATTAACGATTACTTACATTCGTGTATCTCTGCTCCAGTGAAACATAACTCCCCTTCGCAGCCATTTTTGTTAATGTTTGTAATGTTTGTGTCGGGAAATAGCCTTTTCGCAAATGGGAGGGCGTTATTGTCAGAGTTACTCATTTCAAATTTTTATGAAAAAATCAATACAAATAGCCATTGCTTTTACTTTTCCATTCCTCACCGAAAAACACCACTTATTTCGCTCTCCACTCTATCCCTAACACTACTGTTATTGCCATCCATTGTTCAAAACTTTACCAAAACCTTCAAAATCACTCTCGAGCTCACTCTCTATCCTCTCGCACTCTCCCTCTCCTCTCTCACGTGTCCACTCGCACTCTCCCCTCTCCTCCCTTTACATTCATCCAAGTCTCTCTCTCTCTCTCATTACTTTTTTGCATACATTTATTCGATTATACACAAACGTTATGCAGCACTCACTCCGATGTCTATCACACAACTAAAGCCAATTCTGGGCATCAATAATAAGTTATAGTTTTGGAGAGAGAGAGAAAGGGTTTCGAAGAGTGAATTACTGATAACACGTTTAGAGTTAAATACACTTTAAATTCAATAACTAATAAACACATGATTTGTGTTGAATAGAGTCTCACCATTGAGTTCTCTTTACATGTTTTTCTCGAGTAAATGGCATTCAAAATGTTAAACAATTCATTAATAATGGCACACATTTGTGGCGAAAGAAGAAAAATGAAAAGTTTTCTAAAAAGATAAATAAGAAAAAACACAATATTTTACACAAAAGTACATATAATTATGAAAAATAAGAAATTAGTTGAGCGATAGGTTAGGGTTTGTACGCAAGTCTAGACTCCCGGGGTATGAGTTGTAACGCCATTTACCAGCGGATAGTGTGTGTTGTAGTGAAAGGCATGTGTTGTGTACACTACAGGCAAACCTACTTAACGGTCGGTTCAATGAACTTCTCTAATCATTAATTAATAGATAGGTTTTAATGAACTCTTTGTTTAAAAAATAAAAGTTTTTTTCTCGTCTTGTTTTTGAATTACAAAATTCTTGGAGAAATTGAGGCTCGAGTTTGGGCTTCAATTAATTGATTGTTAAAATCATTATTATGTAAATGATTGGTACGCAAGAAAAAAGTCATATAAAACTTGAATGAATGAACGGAGAGTGCGATAGAGAGTGAGGATAGGGAGAGAGGAGAGCGTCGGTTCAGTACTTTCTCAATACTCCAGTTCCTAAGGCAACCCAATGTGAGGTAATTTACCGGCATTTTAGCACTGATTTCAATTCATATGCGTTCGCAACAGAATATTCTTCATTTCGGGTCTTAACTCATCTCTCATTACTTTTTTGCATACATTTATTCGATTAAAACAATTAAACATTTACTTTATCTTCAAATCCCAATTCAAATAGAGATGCGCTTAACATGGGATACAAAATCAATTTTCAATGCATTACTCTATTATATATTTCTTCATTATTTAGTTTTCTTATTATTATTTTTATATTAATTCTAATTTTGTTTTCCTTTTTTTATTAATACATTAATATTTGGATCCAAAACTTATGAGTGAATATATCTGTTGGTAATATAAATGCAAAATTAATTAATCAAAAGGAATTTTATATTAATTTTTTTCGCGTTTACTTCTGAACATAATTTTATCGTATAATTAAAGCAAAGAGAAAAAAGTTTAAACTATAATAAGAAAAATTAAGAAATAATTAAAATTGAATTCTTGTGGAGAGAGAGAGAAACGGCACAAATGCGGACGTAATGGCAAAAGTGCTGCCTTTCAGACACTCGCGAGCGG